TTTTATTTTTTTAAATCATACTAATTAATAAGGTATTAATTAGCAAGTGTTAACCTGCCATATCTTCCTGCCTGTCATACTGAGAGTGAACTGGCTGAACTGCATGCTAATAAGCTGAACAATACTCGAGAGATGAATACAGAGATTATGGCTTGAAAATTCTTCATGTCGTTTTTAGTGAGTTTTCACTTCTCCCTGCAACGTGATATCGATAGGTGGTATAGTGAACATCTGCCATTATTCATTGATTTTTAATTGAATCACATAGGCAGGTGTCTCTAGCTGTTAATTTGGGCTTGTGTCATTTTAAATTATTTTCTTTCACTTCTGGTCAGGCGGACAACAGGAAGCGGTACAAGGAAGAAGAAAATGACCATCTGGATGATCAAACAGGTGCTGACCTGGCCTGGAGCAAACACAAGCTTCTGAACGAGTCCATCATCGTAGCACTGTTCCAGGGGCAGTTCAAGTCCACTGTGGAATGTCTGACTTGCCATCGCAAGTCACGGACATTTGAGACCTTCATGTACCTGTCGCTGCCACTGGCCTCCACCAGCAAGTGCTCCCTACAGGTCAGAGCATATCAAAGCATGTTTTCTCTCTCGTGTCAAGCACATATTGTTATCTAACATATTCACATCATAACAGCATTTGTTTCTCTGAATTAATTCTGACAAACTAGCCAATTGAATGTATTGTGGTTGTGTAGATCATATTACTCTTGATTAAATGCAGATATAACTATGGTTAATAGTTAGTGATTTTTCTACTTCTGGGTAGGATTGTCTGAGGCTATTCTCCAAGGAAGAGAAGCTGACTGACAACAACAAGGTGTTCTGCAGACACTGCAAAGCCCACAGAGACTCCACCAAGAAACTGGAGATCTGGAAGGTCCCACCCATCCTCCTGGTCCACTTGAAACGGTCTGTAATCAATGCAGTAAAACAGTTTTTACCTGTCTATTTTCACTCCTCACTTTATAAGCTTTACAGGAGTGCTATTTTTGACATTAACATTATTTTCTGTTGTGGGGGTTCTTCCTGTAGGTTCTCCTATGAGGGTAGATGGAAGCAGAAACTGCAGACATCTGTAGACTTCCCTTTAGATAGTCTGGACCTGGCCCAGTACGTCATTGGACCCAAACAGAGCCTGAAGAGATACAACCTTTACGGAGTGTCTGTAAGTGAAACTGAAATGACTGCTGCTGTTTTTACCGCTCTGGTGTAAAAGATTGATGAAGTATTGTTGTCACCCCGCTGGGCGGGCTTCATGGACACCTAAATTTGTGAATGCAATAACTCGAGAATGTAGCTGTGAGTAGTGAGCAGTAGCTTCAAATTGATAACATGGGAACATGTACAAAAAAATCTCTTCTAATCTCAGTGACCTCAACCTAAATGTCAGAGGTCACATATTCTGAACATCTTTGCACCTGCAATAACTTGAGAAGTCAGTCACCTAGGGTTTTCAAACCGATACCATTGGGGTGTCTACTAAAAATCTTTGATCACTTTCAATCTCAGTGACCTTGACCTCAAGGTCAAATCACTGGCCTTTGCCAATATTTTTAAATGTATGCACTAAACAAAATTTTAACATAAACATTTTATTCTGAAATAACACTCTGCTCAGGAACCCTCTGAGCCGATCTGTATAAATATGATTTCCTGAACTATATTAAGTTGAGGCATAATGCCAGCGGGTTCTGTGTCCTGGGCAGTAAATTCAGCAGGTACCACATGATACCATTTCTCTATTTTGGTGAGAAAGAAGTGTTCGTATGTAGTTTGGTCTCGGTATAACTGCTTCTACTGACAGACCCATTCGTTAAAGGTCTGGCTGAATGACCAAATTATTTATATATGCCAATTCTGATATCTTCCTAGTCAAAATCTCAAGTTGTATATGGTATCATCTGTGGTAAGATCAGCAGATGAGCAATGATTACAAACTGCTACATGCAAAGTTTACAGTCTGCTTACTGAACAAAACTGGTGAATTTTTTTAAATTATTTTGACATGGTGCAATATCTTTGGTCCCACTCAGGCTTCAGTAAACGTTAAATCGATAGATCTAGCATGGAAAACCTGGGCTTTTTAACCCTTTAAAACCGGTCGGAGCGGGCACGCTCTGTTTTGCGTAACTATTTTTAAATCCTGGTAGCTCTGCAACCACGTGAGCTAGCGCAATAATTTTTTTTGCATATGAAACCGGAGGAGTTGTACTTACATC